ACAACACCACCAACCCGATCAGTGTGCTTACAGTAAAAAAAACACACCCACCGCCCCCTAGTAAAACACTTCCTGCACATAGTTAACCCTTTGATCACCCCCCACATTAACACTTTCCTGCCCAGCGCCAGTAGTACAGTGTCTGCTTTTTTTTTTTTTCCTTTTTCTCTTTAGCATCGATCACTGTATTGGTGCCACTGGGGATGTCAGTGACACAAAGTTAGTTCCCCCCAAGTGTCAGAATGTCCGCCGCAGTCCCGTTAAAAGTCACTGGTCACCACCATTACTAATCGAAAGAAAAAAAAAAACACAGTATCTATACCGCCATTTGTAAACGCTATAATTTTCACGGGAACCAATTAATTTACATGTATTGGGATTTTTTTTTTTAGCAAACACATGTAGCAGAATACATTTTGGTCTAAATTTATTGATTTTTTTTTTTTACTGGAGATGTTAAATAGCAAAAAGTCCAAAATATTGTTTTTTTTTTAAGCAAAATTGTCAGGTTTTTTTTGCTTATAGTGCAAAAAAAAAATGCATAGGCGATCAAATACCACCGAAAGAAAGCTCAATTTGTGGGAAACAAAGGATGTAAATTTCATTTGGGTGCAGTGTTGCATGACCACGCAATTGTCAGGTAAAATAACGAAGCGCCGTAACGCAAAAAATGGCCTGGTCGGGAAGGGGGTTAAATCCTCAGGAGGGCAAGTGGTTAATAAAAAAGTTTTTCAAAAATAAAAAGAAAGCCTAAAAAAGAAAGCGAATTCAGCCATTACATCTAAGAATGCTTATTTATAGTTGAAAGCTGCAATATATTAATGTTTTCTTTTGGGTTTAATACCATTGTTTGTTTTTTTTTTTCTTGAAAAAGATGCCAGACATAGGTTTAGGTTACAGTGTATTATAATTTACCTAACAAATATCTAATTTTTTATCCACACTTTTTGTACATATATTGTACAGTCAATGATCACATTACTAGAAATCTAATAGTAAGAACAAATGAAAAACTTGGTTCAATGTAGAAGACACATATCATGAACTATGAAATACAAAAACGTGAAGCAAGCTTTCCTCGTTCAGATAATACAAACAGCTTTTTCCACTTACCGCCCAGCATCCAGCAAAAGTCTCAATATCAAGTAATACACCTGGAAAAAGCCACTAAAAGGCTAGGGCTTCAAGCTTAATTCCAGTATACTCAGGAAATTTTTGGAGCTAGCAATTCAGAATGTTTGGCCATTGTGCATTTTTTTTGCATCAGCAACAGTATACTTTATTTGGTTATATTGTGCCATTTCAAAACATTTTCCAGGACCTAGTCATAATGAAAAAGAAATCAACACTGGGCACTTCTAGGTCATGGTCAACAAAATGGATTAAATTCACACACAAATTAACAGTGAACAACAGCTGTGACTACCCAAGATTAATTAAGGAAGCAAACTACTTCTCTGGACCACACCATGAAGGGAGTTTATTAAAACTGGTGCAAATGTGCATGGCAACCAATCAGCTTCTGTCTTGCATTTTCAAAGCTTAAGTGATCAAGCTCAAGATAGAAGCTGATTGGTTACTGTGCATCTCTGTTCCAGATCTTCTCCAGTATTAATAAATTTCCTGCACGTGTTTTAGTGCAGTAATCTAAACTAACAAGCAATCACTTTACTTAGGTCAAACTGGATTATCACCGTTTGCTATGGGTTCTGCACACACTTACTAAAAATAAAAACATTTGAGAGCATTTGGTAAACTGCACATTCTTACCCATTAACATGGACGCACACAGTGTTTTCAGGGTCCCTCATCCGAATGTCTGTCAAATTAGGATGAGTGGTTGTGTCCATGCAGTTCCTGCATCCCTATACAATTACACAGGCTGCCTTTACACAACACCGGGTGACTCACGCCGCATACAAACACGGCCCATTCATCCTCTACAGGCCTCAGCACCCATATGAATGAGGCGGAACCCCAACTGAACTTTCAGTTTAAATCTTCTAAAAACATTCCTGGTGCATCAAAAATAAGGTGCTCAAAGTCCTATTGTTTCTTTTCTTCAAAAAGAGGCCACAGCCCGAGTTTAAAAGTCTGCCCCCTGACAGAAGAAGAACCCTTGCTCTCTGCATGGAAGTAGTGATCTCTCTGTAGAGGTAAGAGTTCTTTAAACCAGCAGGAATAAGCTTTGCCTGAATGCAGAGTTTAGCTACCAGAACCTTTTTTGCTTACATTAAAATGCACATTTTTGGCTTGATGATTAGTCAAATCCCCTAAACAGTGTGTGTGTCTGTGATTGTGATTCTGCAAAGACCCTAGGGAATAAAATGTCACATGATATTACTGCATGTTTATCAAATGCAAATTTTCAAATCCACACTGCATGTGTTAACTGCTCGTTTTTGTTTAGGGGTTTGCAGAGCACAGATGTACTCGCCTAATCTGCTGATCCTCTGAGTGCAAGACCGGTCCCCACCGCTTCTGCACCCTTGCAAGCTAGCGGTCTTGCGCATGGACAGTTCCTGACATCATCACACCCATAGAACGGCTCTGTTCATAAGGATGGCAGGAACAGTTCACTGTCGGCCATGAGGGAGTGCCGTTTTCCAGAGGATCAACAGATTGGGTAAGCATAGCCATTCTGTGCGCCCCTTGACAAAATGAGCAGTTAACCCATGCAGTGCAGGCACAGCCCCACTGCACTGGGAAAAAAAATGTTTCATGGAGTTCTGCTTTTAAACAGCAAAGTACAGGAGCAAGCCAGAACACTGACTCTGAAGCTGTCAATTCTATAACTTTGCGCCCCAAGGAATAACTGCAGTTTAAAAACAGTGTGATGTGGAATCTCTAAGTGACTACTATTAAAAGGAAACCTGTACAGATGCTGCCATAGATTCAGTACTTTCAGAGTCACTGACCAAGTATGCAGATTAGGAGCTCTGACTTTCCTGATGTATGCTTGTTGCAGGCTAATGACAAATTATTGAAGCCATTGGAATAAAATGACAACAAAGCAACTAGCACTTCCAATTCAGGAGGGCAGCAAGAGGCTAGGAGGTCCATAATATATAAGCCTCCATATAGTTCTAAACAATTTAAAGATGCTTTAGTAAACACAGGTTTACTTTAAGTGGAAACAGTATAATTCAGTCTGTGACAGAACTCTGTGTCCTGGACGATATCTTGTGTTTTAAACAAGGAGTGTCAGAAAGGTTGGCATGTTTAGTTTGCCAATCTAAAACAATCCAAAGGAAACCAATACATTTGTCAGTTTTAGTCCATTTCCTCTTGTGTTTTTCCATGGTAAAGGGGTACAGCATGTAACATTTTACTATAGGTCTGAATATATATCTGAACATTTTGATTTATTAGAAATTAAAAGCTTAAACTACTGATTTTCCACAGCTGTTGCACTCAGGAAACCAGCTTATTCTAGATCAAGAAAGTCTACATTGTTCTCTAAGTAATATCCTCCAAAATGTTAAATAAAACGGCATTATAGGACCTAGCATTCTCTTCTACCAGACTGATGGGAAACATTTAATACATTCGGCTCGTTAACATACTTTAACAACTGTACATCACCAAACTGCACATTAAGTTAGAACATATAAAGATAAAATTAGTTCTAATCATATCAATTTATATGAAGCAAAAACTTTTTATAGCTACTATATAAGTATCAATAGGTAATTTGTTTTGCAGCATATACATGGCTTTGTTGATTAGTAAAACTGGAGCACATGTATGAAGCAACTTGTCTACCCTCTGTCTGTGGGAATGCCAGTTCCTAAACATGGCACACATAATGATGAATATTCTAAACTGACCAAAAATATAGAACTAAAATGAAAAGGAGGATCCAGACTGTTCTGTGCAAAACTACTGCACAGTGCAGGGAAATAGAACGTTTCTTATTTTTAAGAAAAAAAAAAAAAAACGGACTTTAGTATTACCTTAAAAAAGGACAAAAGTTTTGCAGAAACAGCACTTCACAAATACTGCAGTTGCTGACTTTTAAAAAACAGGTATTGCCAGTGCGTGGAGTTTAGTGCTGTCTTCCTGCAGCCAGTTCCCAGCACAACCATCTTGGATATAGGAGCAGGCTCCCCGTGCTGCACTGTGAATGGCCCTGCAGCCTCTCAGGATGCTGCAGGCCAAGAGAGGGCAGGGCAAGGAGCACCAACCTTGCCTAGATAAGTATTACAGAAGTGGGAGCAGTTACCGATAAAAATCAGTACTCAGTTGCCCTTATTGCATAACCCCTGACAAAACTATATTGGGGGGGGGGGGGGGAAGAGAATCAAAAAAAAGGTAAGATTTATCACAATTATGGCAGGATGACAGTGCCTACAGATAGCCCATCTTGCCAAACAGTATACTCACCTATACATGATAATATGTTGACTTCCTTCTGCAGGAGTCCACCCTAAACAAACTCCAGTGTCAAAGTTTACCTGGGTTGAAAAATGCCACTGCCTCTCACTTGACAGTGTTCTGGCCTGTTCTGGGTGTTTCACCACCCAAGCCTGAGCTCTGTTACATGGGGGAGGTCACAAGCTCCCTCATAGACAGAAGCTGCACTCCCTTAAAGCAGTGTTTCTCAATTCCAGTCCTCATGGACCCCCAACAGGTCATGTTTTCAGGATTTCCATTATTTTGCACAGGTGATTTGATCAGTTTCACTGCCTTAGTAATTACCACAGCTGTTTCATCTGAGGGAAATCCTGAAAACATGACCTGTTGGGGGTCCATGAGGACTGGAGTTGAGAAACACTGCCTTAAAGCAACATAGAAAAGGCTCTGACAAGGTGGGAACGCAGCAAGAAGGTGCTAACAGATACATTTATTTTCTTGGGGCAGGGCTGGGCTATCCTGAGTGAGCTACGTGGCAGTGTCTCTTTAGGAGAGGATTCATAACTGTACCATTAGCTGCTACCATGATCACTGAAAATATTTTAACAGACATAGTGATTTTGAAAATATATACATTTTCTTACCTTTGACGAACTGAACTAAAGCCACAACATGGTAGATAAATGATTCAGGAGATGTTTTGCTGGAGAAGGGCACCTTCATATGGTCAAAGATGGATCTGAAATCTTTCTGTCTCTTGACTGAATGCACAAGAGTACTGGCTAGCAGGCGATCATTAGCCAGTGTTGATGGCCTTTATCATAAGGCAAAACAGGAAATAGTACTTAGCTTAAAAACAAAGTTAAAATTCAGTCCACCTAAAAAAAAAAAAAACAAGTCTAATTACCTGGCATCATCAAGTGGTACAGCTGTTATCCGAAGCTTGACCTCTGGGCGGTGAGACTCGGAGGTTACCATCTTAAGCCTAAGCGGGCTTTCCTCCCTAAATAATATATTTTCTTTCACTTCATCACTTTGCTTTAATGGAAGATTGTAACTAAATGGATCTTTTACCTTTTCAGATATGACTGGATCAGGTGACTTGGAATCTTTTTTACCCAAAGGCTTATCATTATCTCGATCATCATCTTTATGTCTGTCTTTAGAGGACACTTTGTGCCCCTTACTTTCCCTACTCTTTTCCCCTTCTTTAGCCACTTTTGTCTGAGTCTTGGACTTAAACTTTGTCCCTTCCTCCTCAGAAATCCAATGGGATGCAGAGGAAATACCCTTCCCTTGATCGGCCAGAACAGCCTTCCTAAACTGTCTATAATCCTCCACTTCCTCTTCATTTTCAGAAGTTAAGAATTGTGTTTTAACAGGCTCCTTTTCAAAGATATAGTCTAAAGCATCAGAACTGCCCCAACTTCTGGTTGTTTCTGTTTTAGACTTATCCAATACCCTTTCCTTTTGGCTGTCTCTCTCTCTAACATTAACTCGCTCAATAGGAAATAGCCTTTGTTCTTCATCAGTATACCTAGAAATGTAAAAAATAAAAATATATAGTATCCTGTTTATTGGGAACTTAAACAATTAAAACTACATTAAAAAATACATACTTGCCTTCAACTCACACCACCCCCTCCCCCTTTCCCATGAAGGTGCCACTGTTCATTTTTGCAAGGGGTTGGGCTAGTACACAATGATACTCACCTTAATGCATAGTTTCACAATGTTACTCCCCATTCTTCATACGGTTATTGCTGCAGGCCCTCTCGTCAACAGCATTATGTCCGCACAGATCAGGAGGGGATCTGGCTACTGGTAGGCATGCTTGCTCACATTTTAGCACTGCAGAGTGGAGGATCACAGTACCATGGAATACAGTGAGTATTGCTGGGTGTTAGCTGCTTTTCAAGCAGGAGTGAGCCGTGTTTAGTTTATGTGCAGGGAAAAGGAAGGGGGGGGGGGGGGGGGGATCCCACTTTAGGAAACACACATTTAAGATTATTATGCAAGCATTGGTTGTGGCCAAAGATCCACTTTAGGAACACACATTTAAGAATATGCAAGCATATTTTAATACAATATGAAGCCAAATGCCCCCCCCCCCCCAAATAAACTACTTAATGTAGCTGTGTGTCACGTTAAAAACATTTTTTTACATAGATCTGACAAGTATTTAAATCTTTGATAGCAGTCTCCTGATTTTTCCTGCACGGCAGCATTCAAGACTAAATGAGACTGGTAGAGCCAGCACTAAGATAATCAGGCTCTACTGCATGCACATATGCCAACAGAATCAGAGTTAAGACTTGCCAGTGCATTGCAGCCTCTGTACATACAGATGATTGCATGTAGGCAAGGAGAGGACACCAATGTATTTCATAACCAATAAAGAAAGTGGTGTCAGTCTCCAAGCTGCAGTCTGCCAGAAATAAAAATACAAAAGCAGCTAGACAGAAATCCTGTGGTAGGATAACAAATGTGCATTTCAACTTGTTACAATTATGACAAAATAATTTAAGGGTTTATACCTGGATGTCAATTATTCCTCACCTTTTAGGAATCTTTGTGCCTTTAAAATTCTCTGGTTCTCCTTCATCAGTATACACAGAGTAGTGAGATTGACCCTCATCCCGTAAAGGCTGCTGTGGTAGAACAGTCTTTGCAGGACTCTTTTCAGAAGGGATGTTAAGTGGGCTGTTCTGGGAAGGGCTGTAGCGTGTTGAACTATTGCCAGCAGATCCTGAGACTGATCTTTCAGGGCTGTGGGCAATGGAATGTGAATTCTGAGACAAGGTATCCTTACCCGAGTGGACCACACTTAAGATTGGACAATCAGACTGGGAAGAGCTCTGACTGGGTGGTGAGGCAACTTGGGATGGACTGCTAGGAGACCTTGGACTGTTATCATATGCAGACAGGCCTGCCCAGCTCTCCCCATGCAAATCAATTTTGCCAAGTTCATCTATTGGTTCGGAGGGGTCAAATGCATCTTTATGCTCATCACCCGATTTGTCATTTGGAGGACTTTCCGATTTATCAGCCCCTTCACTTTTTTGTCTTGTTTTCTCTTGAGAAGTACGAGATTTCGTCACTGGCGACTTGCTATAACGGGAAGAAGAACGGGAAGTTGATGACCTTGGTGATGGCGAGGATTTGTAAGATCTTTGAGATCGGCTTCTAGATCTTTGGGATGATGCAGATCTTCTCTTTGGACTTCTGGAACGGGATCCGGCCACGCCTAGGACTCCGAGAGTACCTACGGTTCCATGTTGGCCTGTAACCACCACGATGATATCTGCCACCACCTCCTTGGTAATAACCTCTCACCCTTCCCCTGAAGCCATAAGGGCGTCTCATTCCTCTATTATTTCTGTAATCTCTACGAAAATCTCTGTTGTAATCTCTGTTGTAATCTCTGTTGTAAACCCTTTCTCTGCTCCGTGATCGGGAGTATGTTCTTGACCGAGATCTGGAACTTAAGTTTAATAAAAGTTTATTGCTCAGTTTTAAAAAAGGTAACAAAGCTAATAAGGATATTTGGAAAAATATTGTCAAGTGAAGTAATGATGCAGTGATGTCTAGATGATATCAGGTGCCTGAATTCACACTTCATACAGTTGGCAAAGTGCCTCAGAACTCTAAACAACCCAGGAAAGCTTTACTTTGCAGGGACCAGAGCACTGAAGGTTGTGATGAAGCCCACCATTCCTGCTACCCTGGGCTCCCAATAGTCTAGGGCAGTGGTCTCCAAACTGCGGCCCGGGAGCCAGATGCAGCCCCTTGCTTGTATTTATCTGGCCCTTGAGGCACTTTTCCTCCCACTGACAACAACAATGGGGCATAATTCCTGCTAATGAAATCAGCAATGGGGTCCACTGACACCAACAATGAGGCCCTATTTCTCCCACTGACACTAACAACAGAGCACTATTCCTCCCACTGACACCAATGATGAGGCACTCAAAACTGGCACCAATGACAGGGCACTATTCCTCCCACTGACACCAGAAATGGCGCACTATTCCTCCCGCTAGTACCAAAGATGCATTGTTTACTCCCACTAACACCAGGACAATTTCAACTCCCAATAGCCACAAACCTAAAAGTCTAAAGGACAGTAAACTGGCCCTTTGTTTAGAAAGTTTGGAGACCCCTGGTCTAGGGAGTAGGTATGAAGGAATGAGCTGGAATCAACGCATTGCCTGCTGTTTGCACAAGAGCTCTTGTGTTTCTTGGGTTCTGGGTCCTATGTAAATTAAATAGGCATGTACTGTATGTATGCATGCACCTGGAAATGCCTTTGCTTACATCCAGTGGCTGTTTTACAAATTTTCACAAAGATAAAGGTTTGCTTTGAAACCCAAGCTGAGGCAAGGCTCTGTCTGTTGATTTAAAAGGACCACTGCATGGAGGGTGGAACCTGCATCAATTTGTAAACCCCTCTGGATTAGGCCTTGCTGTGTCCCTACTGCTCAATGTCCCTGAACATATTCCTTGCAGAACCCTATTGCTGCCGTGTGACTCCATACTTTAACCACCCACCAACCACTCCTCAAACTACAAAGGCAGCAGCAGGGGGGACATACAGTCAAAGGCAACTGAAACTGCGCTGCAATGATGTGTAATGCATGCGGTTGTGGTGTGGTAATGCAACATTTTAATAGGCTAAAACAGGCAGTGAGGAAGTGATATATTGCTATGAAAACTATGTCACATATTTTCAAATGCACTTTACACATGGTACCTGAAAAGGTTTGTTCTCTTAAAATCTGTTATGGATTTCTGTCTGACAGAAGCAGAAGCTTATAGCTCCTGCTGCCTTCGATGTGCCCTGTGAAGAGAGTGATGCTGCTACCGGGACAGCACTGGAGCAGTGAGGAGTCAGATAAGTGTTTAAGGATGGGGGTAAGAAAGAAAGAAGGTGTTTGGTTTTTTTTTATGTAATGCAGAGAATGCATTAAGTAAAGAATAGACTTTACAAACACTTTAATATCATAAAGATAAGCCAGTTGGAAGATGTGTTTTCTAGAAATGCAGCTACTGAAGCCCAGATTTAATTACCTGTATCTTTTCTTTCTGGAATGTGACCTTGATCGAGAAGATGATGGTGACCGAGATTTTGATCTTGAAGAGTGGGACCTTGAATTTGATCTAACCATTTTTCAAAGATTCACACAGGCTGACCCTGCAAACAACAGGGATCAGGCGTTCACAAATTTGTAGCATTATAATAGTGGATGCAACTAAACTTTACACATTGCTTTGCAAATACAATATAACAGACACAATAACTAGAAAATGCCTTTGTTTTAGCTCCCATATGTGCCATAATGCTCTCCTCCAGACTAAAATAGCTATGGATGTAGAGTACACTACATCTGACCACTGTGGGGAAATTTTTCCTACAACAGTCACTATCCTTCTTTACGAAATTAAAAGTTCCAATCACAACACCAACAAAAGACGTGTACATGTATAAAACAAAACACTTAAAGTGGCAGTAAACTGCATCTAAAAAAAAAATAATCCCCTGCAAGGTAAAGGCATAATGTGCTAGTGTGTATTGCAGACTAGCACATTATGTAAAACTTACCTTAAAACAAAGCCACTCAGCAGCACGCTGTTACTGCTGTAGGTCTTCCTTCCGGGTTTGGGAGCTCCAGCCATCTGACTGGCTGAGCCACGATAACATCACTCCCGCATGGAAGTCTCGGGACATGGCACAGTGCTTTGAATGAATGGCACGGGTATGCCGTTCCTTCAGAGCACATGCAAAAAAACAGAAACTGTGCACGTTTGGAGATCTTCATTTTACCTACAGGTTAGCTTTATTATAAACTTACCTGTGGGTAAAAATTAACTAAGTAGTTTTACTTCCACTTTAAAGTGGAACAAAAGCCTAAACACTAGCGCCAGCATCCCTGTGTTAGTAAGTGGCTGCTGCAGGGGAGAGGAGGGAGCACTGATAACGGTTAGGCTACAGGAGTCTACGGGTGACATCACAGCTCCTAGGATTTGCAGCTCTTATCAAGCACTCCCTGAGCTGGATTACAGATAGGTAAATACACACATCTTTTTGTTTATAAAGGTTAGGTGGGATATGTAGGGGGGGGACATTTTAAGCATAGTTGGACTTAGGGTATTCTTCCACTTCAACAGTAGCGTTGTTAAGAGCATTAAAAGAGAAGTTTGGCCAAAACTCTTTTTGACATCACAAAGCCATTCCAGGAATTCTAGCAATGTTGGTATCAGGGTGGATAAAAATCAATGATTTAAAAAAAAAAAAAAAAAAAAAAAAAAAAAAAAAATCGGATTTTTTTTTAAAATAAAATGCTTTTGGCGGAAGATATATTACCATCCAAAGGTTATTCCATCATGAAATAAAGATTTGTTTTTTATTTATGTAGAATAAAGCTGTATGTGTTTAATTTTTTTGGTAAATAAATTCCATTAATCCATTCACAATGTCATGCTCTTCCAGAGGTTATTGTAAGATTATTGGGCAGTTTTCTCTGCCTACAAGATATTATCACAGATGCTTGGTTTACTTTTGCAGTTCTCAAAACTGAATTTGACTCAGCGGAGATCACATGCCTCTTCTTCACAGCAAAAATGTTATAACATGAACAGAGTTAAGAAAAAGACCTTAATCCTAACTTCTACAAACCTATGAATACAGAATCAACCCCTTCAGTGCTAAGTTTCAAGAAGTTCAGTGAATAGAATAGAAACAATATTTTTCTGATTGTTTGGAGTGGAATAGATCTGCACAAGAAGAAAGTGAAACTAAGTGTGAGGAGGAAGGGGCTGACAGTCTAAGTTTCTTAAAATATATATATTTTGTTTAGCCAAATTAGTTAACAAACATGGATGTTTAAGCAAATAACATATGCTGTAATGTTATTGTTTCAGATGAATAAATCTATTTAAATTGTTATTAAGGTAATGATTATTTTTCCCCTTCCTAAGTGCAACAGAAAAGTTATATGAATGATTAACCTATTAAACTGGGGATAAAAAAACTAATATGAAAAGTTGTCATTCTAAAAATCTTCATCTACTTGCATATTAAAGTTATACCAGCAAGAATTAGTTTTTATGTAGAAAACTAGGATTTAAATCAAGCCTGACTAGTGATTTAAATCAAATCCACCCTGGTTGGTATCCAAACAGATGCCTTACAGGCAGCTGGCTCAGCCCCTCGGAGGTCCACTGAGAGCCTGAACCAGCCACTTCCACCCCTCCCTAGCCTGGTGCTCCAGTGAATGCTGGAGAGGCAGAGCACAGAGCGGACCCAAGAACTGAGCAACCAGCGGTCATGTGATCACTCAGCTCTCAGGCTTAGTACCAGGAACAGCTGCGGCAGGTAAGTATGTGTTTCTTTGTTGTTGTTTTTTTAACATTCCCACACTTCTAAGTGATTGTAAACCTCAGACATGAAATATGAACAAATCATACCTCTCTCTAGTGTGTACCTGTCTGAATCAAAAGCACACAGTTTACAGTTGACAGGGGAAGAAGGCACCAGCACACATCCTGTGACAGACAACCTCAGCGTGGCCCTTACCGTCAATCAGCTATCAGAACTCTTCTCAATGAGATCTGAAAAAATGTAATTTCATCTCCCAAGCCCCTGATTGCTGGAAGCTCAGACAAGCTGTATAAATGCTGCATGTTGGACAGATGTAGAAGAGAAAAGACTACAGATAAACAGGTACAACTTATGTAGAAGTATTTGTTTCATCTCTGTGCATCCCGAGGCTGGTCACTTCACTGGGTATATGTAACAGTTTACAACCACTTTAATGTCTTCCCGTGCCAATACACTTTTTGTACAAATGCACAAAGATTACAAAATTAAAAAAAGAAGCTTTTCCACAAAAAACACACATTTCAAAATACTTTGATTGAACTCACCTGTTAGAGCTTGACTTGTATGTATATTTATATATTGACAATCATCTGTAAAAATAAATACAGTAATATGACCAATCTCCAAAACAATACTTTTTGTTCATTCTGCATTGCAAAATGTTGCTTCATTTGCAGTCTTCTTCACTTACCACAGAAAACAAGCTGGGAAACAAAACAAATAATGCTTTCAACTTCGGCATGCATGTTGTATAACAAGGTTCAAGGGTCATACACAAATATTCAACAATCCAACTCCAAGTGAAGAAAATCTGCTGTAAAATGAAGACTGCTTTCATGGATATGCAAGGTATTATCTGTCAAACGCCATAACAAGCTGGCAATTCCTTAGAGCAAGCAGGGAGAGCCAAGCGTATTAATCCATCCTCCTTCCTGGTACAGCAAGCACACTTCCGGGTTCACAATTTCCAGAAAAATATAACTGGATTTCAAGAAATGGTTTGAGAAAAAAACTAAACAAAACAAGGAAATAAGAAGTTACACAGCAATATCCAGCTTGTATCCTCCTTTCACCTAAAAGAGAACACAACGGCTCACATCCTACTGAAGGTAAATTATGTCCCCTGTGCTGATTTTTAAGCTAAACTTAGGCATTAAAGCTGAACTCTAGTCATTCAGCTAGTTTGTAAAAAGGGCAGGCTATGAGTTATGTTCAACGATGTGCTTGCCACCTCCTCCTGGACTTCTCTCCATTATTTACATTGGACACATTTATGGAGCTCTTGGAAGACAGCTAATCGCTATAGTTGTGTGTGCTCCCATGCTGGACCTTCTGGTCCCAGCTCCTTCAGCTGCAGAGTCGATGTGACCCACCCCTCCTCTCTTCCTTCCCAATCACAGCAGGTTTTGTATTAAGTGAACTCAGTCACAAAATACAAAGGCTTCTGTGAATGGGCAGCAAAGGGGAGAGGCGGGCAGAGCTGACGTGTGTGTTTCTCTCCCCTCAGAGACCCAAGTGTCTCCTCCTAAGTGTTATAAACCTGTCAGATGCAAATAATAGAAATAAGTACAGGCGTTGACATACACCTTATTAGTCTTAACTCACAGTACTGCCTGCTCACTTTATAAAGTTGCTGAATTCAACTTGAAAACTAATGCAGACTACACAGAGAGAAGTGTGCGGCTAGTTATGAGGTACATGTACAGATCGCTCACTGAGAGCACTGAGTAGTGGGAGAACTACTACCCTTCCTTCCATATACACTGCAAGCTAACAGAAGGAGCACACTTGTAGGTAAAGAAATATTCTTTTCTGCCTCACAAAAAGAAGAAACAAATGATGAGCCATGCAGAGATTTTACCTTTATGAAAATCTGCACATGAAACAGCAATCTTTTCTTTTTTTGTTGTTATAAATTTCTCTTTTGTACAAAGATGGAAACAAGGCGCACAAAGTTAGACACAGACCTAAAAAAGGTACAATAATAGATTGGGAAACCCCAAGACTACAACAGTCAAAATAGTGAGACCAGGAGAAAAAAAAAAAAAAAAAAAAAGAAAAAAAAAAACCAAGACCCCACCCATACAAAAACTTTCCAAAAAAAAATATATATATATATATATATATATATATATATATAAATATATATATATATTATAAGGTAAAAAGGAAATCTGTGCTGCATGGAACACGTAAGCTTTCATTGCGGACTTCTGAAAAATTCTAGTTACCTGGCTTCAATACTTAGTTACACTGAACCGGAAAATATGCAGCAGTGTTGGTCAAAGCGAAGAAGAAACTCGTACTATATTAAAAAAAAATGTTCAGGGTCAGTATTTTAGAAAGTTCTAAAGCCAATGGTTCAGCATGACAGCCAGGCAAATAGCATTTTAAGAAGCAAACTTCAGCAATAGCAGCCTGCATATTTCCATGTAACTCCTACTCCTGTCATAACACTGGCCTTTAATGAGCCTTTTACAGTCACCCTTACACAAATCACAAACAATTCTTACATCTGTAAAAGATCCTGTGGATAGCATCACTAATTTTATTTGTTCTTTTTTGGAGGAATGAATGTTAAATTTGAACTCCAGTCGAGACTTTTATTAAATAGTATTTTTCTTCACATAAAGATACAAAGGCATCAAGCATCCACCAAGAGAAAATGTGTACAAAAGGTAGGAGCAAAGATGAAGAAAATGTCTGGAAACTATTTTAAAGTATAACTCCAGGTGAAGCTTTTTTGGAGATCTGGATAGAAAGCCGAGGGGTTAAAACCCCTGTCAG